CTCGACACAACTTTTTAATACACAGAATTTCCACAGTCACTTTAAACTTAACAACCTTTATAACACACACACTATAAATCACAGCGATTCACTCACTTTACTTACGGTGCCTACTGTACGCTTGACTCAATTATCTCTATCTTCAATCTATCTGCATCTCTAACTCTTCTTTTATTTGCCGGGTTTATATACTAAAAAAGAGGGCGTCCCGAACAAACTAGGAGATTCACGATCATTCGACAAACTTTTCGCACATGCCAGCAGCGTCGCGTGACTTACGCTGACGTAACAATACCATTAAACTTTTGTATATACACACACGGTCAACTCATGTGATGTTCAAAGAAACCCGATGAAACCTTGGTGCTTTTAACAGTTTCATCAGGTTTCTTTAAATGTGATTTAACAACCTTTTTTTTTCATTACTATTCTGTGCTGTTTTTATTCATTATAATATTTTCCATGATGTTATTTTTTAAGTTTTCTATATTGATTCATATAAGGCAGTTTGGATAATTACACCACTTACGTGTGATATAGAAATAAGTTGCTGTAAAACGACCAGTAATTGTGGGTGGACTTGAAAATTTAGAAACAAGTTTTTGATCTAGAAATACATCGCACGCTGTTTAAGGAAAACTTCAGTTGCAGAGGACTAAAGTAATGGTTACACATTTATAATAATGGCTTACTCGAAACATTTGCCAGTGTAACAATAATGCAGGAATTATGTTAATCACAAAATTAAAAGTAAATTGTTGAAAATCTTGTCACAAATACAAGATCATCCGCACATCATTAAAAAAATATTTGCCTCAATCTTTTCTTCTTTTTTTTCTACTTTATGTATTAAAATTGTTTTTATCATACTGTACAAACTATATGCGATATTTAAAAAAAATAAAAACTTTAATTTCTTTTGTTGGGTGGGTTTCTTTATTAATTATTTGGTGAAAATAATGCGAAATACAATCTAACTAACGATAACAAATTAGTTCATTTCTTCCTTAACGTTTATTGGAGGCTACTGTCACTTGTACACAGTTGTAGGCCTACGTTCACAATACATTTTTGCAAGTCCATGGCTAACCGATAGAGTAATTGAATATACGCGATAAATAACACTGAATTGAATATTTCTCAATAACTGGTTCTCGTATTTATAATGTATTATTGTTTCGAGATATTTCGTAAAATCTCTAGATCACTAACATTCTAAACTTAACAACCTTTATAACACACACTATAAATCACAGTGACTCGCACACTTTACTTACGGTGCCTACTGCTCGCTTGACTCAATTATTTCTCTTCAATCTATCTCCGGCTTGTATACTAAAAAGAGGGCGTCTAGCAAACGCTGGGTCATTCGTCAGGTTGTCTGCAAAGTCACTATCCTTCTAGAAACTCCAGCGCGCATGCTTGCAGCGTCGCGTGACTTCCGCTGTCGTAACAGTATATTCGCGCAAAGCTGCACAGGGGTTATCAGCGTTAGGTGTTCTTATTTAGAAATGATAGACTAAAGAGAAGGCAACTAATTAACAGTGCCCACCGCCATCTTTTTAACTATTCTGATCTAATAGTCGTATTTAACTGTCACCCTTATAACGAACTCACGGCCCGAAAGTCTCTTATGCGACATCGACTGGTCAGACACAATAACTGTAAGGCAACGCCCGCTGCACATACGAATGGGGCTCACCAAGATATCTGTGGAATATCGCGTCCTTTTAAAATAATAAATTAATTTGATCTAATTACAAAGTACTGAACTTATAACGATACAATTTTGTTTTATAAAACTTGATTAACCACTAATTAATAGGTATTTATGTTATTTTCATGACCTACAATTTTTTAATGTGACAAACCCAAAATTCCGATGAGTTAAAATCTGTATGAAAAGAAAACGCGTTTTACCTCATTTTAAAATATACTCGCTTCATTTTAATGGATTGAGGGTGGTTTGGTATGTTTAATTAATCATGAGTTAAAATATTCATTTAATAGAAGAAAGAAAATGTAGCATTAACGAAATAATATACAGTTAAGAGCTACAAAAAAGTTTGCACTCATTTTTTTCAAAGCCGGAGAATGGGCTATCAGTGCTGTGCCAAGAGTAGGGATCGAACGCTAGATTCTTGCATGATAAATCCATAAGCTTAGTTGAGTCAGCATAGGTTTTTTGTAACATTTTGAAATAAAAGTTAAAACATTTGGATGATGATGTTCAAGGATTGAAATATTAACATCATCTTTGCCATCATAACTAATTACTCTTCTTCAACTATTTGAAAGCGCTCGAGCTTTTGGGTCTTTTGAACTTTGCCTGATTTTTTTTAATGACTATTTTCTTGTGTGACTATATCATACTTAGTTAACTGCGTTCACGTCATTAAAATTGTTGTTCATATAATTAATGATATAAGTAAAGCGTAAACCACTATATATTTCGCATCCCAGTCAGTCTAATGAGCCCTGGTATTGAGCGAAAAGCTTCTTCGGCACTGGACATGACAGATACACTGTAGTTGGCATATTATATATATATATACTTCTTTGCTTTCACTCAAAAGATCTTATAATAACTTACTAATACTTTTTTTGTGTGTGAATAATTAAACAGGACTGTAAAGATTGTTTGTTTTTGAGTTTCGCGCAAAGCTACACGAGGGCTATCTGCCCTAATTTAGCAGTGTAAGACTAGAGGGAGGCAGCTAGTCATCACCGCCAACTCTTGGGCTACTCTTTTACCAACGAATAGTGGGATTGACCGTCACATTATAACGCCCCTACGGCTGAAAGGGTTAGCTTTTTAGTGGGATGGGGATTCTAGCCCGCGACCCTCAGATTGCGAGTCGAGCGCCTTAACCACCTGGCCATGCCGGGCCGACTCTAAAGAAGTACATGCTTTCATAG